CCATTCGTAGCACCATATTACAACTGGTCAAAGAGACAAGTGAAGCCGATCCTTTGACCAAACGTGTGCTGAACAGTTATGGTATCTCCCCATCTGCCCTGGCCTATTCATATTACCTATATCCTCCTATCACACCTTTACTGTCACCATTTTTTACTTGCTTTATTAAATGTGGTACGGTGTGCCCTTTTGAGCGGCTTTCATGAGAACCCTCCGCACTCCATGCTAACCTTCTCACCCCCCTTCATCTTTATGCTGGGAATTTTGATCAGATTCTGACATATTGTTACGCAGTCTTCCTTCCCTAGGTCTTACCACAATTTCTCTCTTGCGCTAGTCTCTTCTGTGCCAACCCACAACTGTTGTGGTATTGCTTGTTTTGACTAGGTTCAATGTTGAACCACAACTTTTGTGGGTTGGCACACAAGAGGTTAGGGCATGGGAAGTCATAGACTTGGTATTAGAGATAGAAACAGGATAGACGCGGCGGCGATGGGAGCTAGTCGGCTGACAGTAGGTTTTACAAGAGACGTGGTCCATGTGGCAAAGGCCTGACTATGAGACTTACTCACAGGCTTTAGCCTCAAATTAGTCACTAAGACGCAGGAGAGGGCGAATAACGCCTCGATTGGCACAAATGGGGTGGCAGGGATCGAGTGAAATGCTTGAACCAGGGCTATAGCAGACGGATTCTACGGGGCAAGAGATAGACTGTGGTAAGACCTAAGGAATGAGGCCGGTATAGTAATATGGCAGACTCTGATTAACATTCCCAGCACAAGGATGAAAGACGACGAGAAGGCCAGTGTGGAACGCGCTAGGTTCTCATGAAAGCCGATCAAAAGGGCAAACCGTACCAAATTTAATTAAGGAAGTAAAAAATTATGAAAGTGATTGGAGGATATAGGAAATGTGAATAGGCCAGGGCAGAATGGGAGATATCATAACTGTTTAGTACACGTTTGGTCAAAGGATTGGCTTCACTTGTCCCTTTGACGAGTTGTAATATGGTGCTACGAATGGTAAAACTTACTGACGATGTCGGCGAAACGTCTGGGTATGTACCACGTCCACGGTCCGAACTTGGAAATGATTATGCATACAATGGACTCCGAACAAGGTGCGTTCCTCTAAGTCTTCCTACCAATATGACCAAGTTGTGAAAACAAGGTCAAACAACTTCTATAAAACAGGCAATATTGTGCGCTTTATTCAGTAGTATGCATACAATTGAATGAAGAATTAATTTGTTCTGCGACTTTATGCATTAATTATTTAATGGTCTAACTAATAGACATGCTTGAGAATATATGAGCAGATTGTTGTTTACTTCTGAGGGCATAATTCCATATTAATGATTACTTATTGATTTATTTTATAATGATTACTACATATACGTAAATTTTTTGTGATTCCACCTAATCTCAAAGTCCTACAATTCTTTTCGACGACTGTTTTCTTATTGCTAACAATCGAGACTAAAACTATTCGTTTCTCTTTAATAGTAGGTTACAAACGCGAACTACCACACTATATCTAATCTCCAAAGATAGGGTTATATTCTTATTTCCAGGGTTTGCATTAGAAGCAACTTTTGAGCTGTCATTTAGGACATTCCTCCAATTAACTCAGTTTATGAGCATAGCTTAAGATGGCACTCACGAATCGAATCCCGTTTTAGATGCTGATTAGACCCAGGCATGTTTGGAACTGCGATTCTGCCTGGACGATATATATAGGCAAGACCAAGAGAAATTTAATGACATCATGAAGACTACTCTTCTCATTGTTGGAAAATGCCAATTATTTGTCCTTAAATAAACCTAGGTTTATCAAGTTCTTTTTCAGAATTACTGATGGTCTCGAAAGTTATTAATATTGAACATATGCAACATCGCTAATTGTTGTGGTAGACATATGATTGCTCAATAGACATTCACACCTTTGAAAATATGTTAGGTCTGCGAGACTTGGCTTGTCTTGAATGTCTCATCTACCCTGTGACCTACTGGCATCCGTGGTCGCGTAGTGGAGTGGAGTTGTAACGTCGCTACGACGCTCACGACTCGGTACAAAATCTTACTGTTGGTGCTGATAAGACCTGTGCGAGACCGAAACTTCAGTCGAGTACACCTTGTATGAGATAAGTTATTGAGAGATAAGGCTCAGCAAAATTCGATGGTGCCCTGGGACCAATTAATCTCATCTCATCTCCTTAAATTGCCTCTAAGTGGCCTTGTTCAAGAATTACTGATATTCCCGAAACCTTTTATTATAGAAAACCCAATGTATTTTTAATCGAAGGTATTGAGACCAAGATGGTGTGTATTTTTGTTCTGACTGCTTTAACGCATCAACTGCTTATAAAAAACTCTCCGTCTTTACTAATGCTTGCGTGTATTCCTAGGACTCTGTGCTCATCACTCAGCTGGCTGAGACTATCCGACTATTCCGCCAGTTGCATTCGCACGTCCATCTTGCCCCGGCCAAAACTAGACCATTCCATCCCGATAGTTCCTCTATTAGCCGACATTCAAATGGCGCTCCAGAACCTGGACAGATGGCCCATCATCATGACAGCTCTCAGGATGAGCGCAATATTCTTTTCCCAGACCGAGTGTCAATTGCTCGGAGAGAATGGGACCATACTCTTAAGAATGAATCCCGGACAGAAAGAGAGACTGGTGAATGTCTCGCTGGGGCTGGACTCTTAGGCACCAGGAAAAATGCATCTGCAGTTGTGGAAGTGCAAAGGAGGCCGGAAGGTTATCTGCTTGCCGGCTGCCTCGATGAAAATTTGCATCATCAGCATCACCAGCAGCGCAAGCACCCGTCGCTTATCAGTCGTCTCTTGTCCGGTTTATATAACACTGGACGTCGGAGACGGCCTTATCTCGCCTATTTGATGCGCACTCGGCATCAGCTTGCTCTTCTCAAACAACATTCACTGCTCTTGCGGAAAAGGTATCACTTTTCCATCCAGTCTATATCTCACGACATCACTAGTATCTATTTGCCTTTCTATACGGCCTTTTATAGGGCTTTAAGAAAACACTGATGTGGCCAATTTATAAAACATCTTTACTAATGTTGGTCCGCGGAGCACTTACGCTTATTAAAGCATTCACTGTCAAGGAAAACAGCGCATCATGGAAATGTAACTAAGAACATGGGTACAATATAGCAAAATTAAGTCCCAATAATAGTTCGTAGATATGAAGACCAAAATGATGTGGCCTTCTGTTTGGTCGCAATCTCCTTTAGCTTTATAATGTTGGTTCGACCTTGTTTTCGCAACTTGGTTGGAGCGTTAGGGAGACTTTGTGGAACGTATCTAGTCCCGTGTCCTCTGCAATAGTATTCGTGATTTCCAGCATTGGATCATTTGGAAATGTACTCAGTCAATGGTCCAATGCTGGAAATCACGAATAATATGGCTGAGGACACGGGACTAGGTACGTTCCACAAGGGCCCTCTGACTATCCGACCAAGTTGCGAAGACAAGGTCGAAACAACACTTCCAATATTAGTTTTAATTCTTATTTTTATTTTTTTTGGTTTAATAAGCTATTTGGCATACTTAACAACCTGGAAAGCAAGGGGTGAAAGCCATTTCTGCTAATAGTAATGTAACCAGCATTTTAAAGCATTCAATTGAGATTTTAATCAAGTTTCGCCATGTCTTGCTTGATTACCTCCATTATCCAATGCACTATATAGTATTATCTGAAGAAGCTCGGAGCAATGCATAAGCTGATTGATTCTCCTTTTAATTTGTGATTACTTGCTCTAACTTTGGTTCAATGTTTCTTGAAATGGAATGGCTATTTCGCAAGCATAGCAGCATATCTCAGTATTTAAAGGGCAACTTGCATTTATATGGTCCGTATAAGAATTTATTCATGATCTATTATCTCATGATGGAATTCAGGAAAGTATGAATAGTTAATCATAATCGTTCTTTTTGAATGTCCGATTTTCCTAAATTATCTGTTCACAATTACAGCGAAAAGGCCAACCTCAAATATGAAGTCACACACTGTGCAACAAGCTCTATGAATGGCCTAAGCGGCGAAAAAATCTTCTCATCACACATTAAGAAAGTCTGGGTTTCGAAGACTTCCTTTATAATTTCTTGTCACTAAAAGTTCCATTTTTATTAAAAATTGTGTTGGAAGTGCCTCATAAATTGGCCTCATTACAAACAGGAGGATCGCCTGAATCAAGCAAAAAAGTCCTAGGCCCTCTTCCCTGCGACCCTGATGAATCCGAACTGCTTATTTAAGGAGGCATCGCGTGATTTTTTTATTTATTTCAGGCTTTTCCTGCATCCTTGTAGATAGGAGAATTGACTATGGACGAGATGATAGGTGGATCAACAACTATTTTCCTCAATAAAATCACTTGTATATTTGATTCTATAATATTTAAGTATGTATTTATGTTCCTCGTTTATGAGTATGGTTTCGATACTACAAACCCTTAAATAAATAGAGTGAATACATCTTATATAACTGCTGTAATGTTCGTTTGCCTGTTTATTGTATGCAATTCTCATGAATTGCGTGAGGCGTTAGACTCGCAATCTGATCCGAGGCTACTTAGGCTTCCTCCTCAGACTTTATTCTTGCTATATCTCTTTCACACACACACACACAGAGTTTATATGACAGCCTTAAGTAATTCCCAGTTAAATGAGACAGACATTTCACATATTGTCACAATTTTCTATCTAATTTATGTTCAATTTCTCAAAATATTTTTACATGTTTAGACCTCATTTTTTGTCCCTTTATTTGCACATTTAGCACACTTCTCATAAATTTTTTTATCACATTCTACTATTTGCTCAATTCTGGGCATATAATTGAATTTACTCTGTCCATTCACCTCACCTTCCTATCCATCTCTTCCAAAGATCGGAGCAATCACACCGGCAGTTGCGACAGTATGTAATTTCTATGTGCCTTGCCGACTTCCTTACTCTTCATGCCGATCGGATCTCTGCCTCAATCGCCCAGCTTACGGGCAGTTCTCGCTCATCCGTCACTAACATTGGCAGCAATATCGTCTCATCTCCCTCGTCTTCATTTCCTCCACCGACAACCTTCATGCCAATCGAATCCCCCTGTGACGTTGTCACTCGCCTACTGGCCGATCTGTCCGCCAGTCTTGAGCAAACACCTCTTATGCGTCAGGCTGCTCTCGAACCGGCCTCAAATGCTGGTTCTATTCCTGTTGTCAATAGTAGCTTTTGCCGGCAGTCGACCGAACCTAGCATCAATCGGCTGGCCAGGGATTACTTAGAGCGGCTAGTGATGGGTCAGATCTACCAGGTGATCTTATGCACAAACGATGCCTCGGCAGAGCAAGAACGAGATTTGTGAGTCTGTCATCCAGCACTTTGGCAATGGCTAGATCCTGCCGGGTTTCAAAGAATCCCTTAATGATTTTGTGTGATTAGACTTTTTATTTCTAAGGAAAACTTGGTTGCACAATCCAACACTTCAAAGCAATTCACCTTTCGCTTTCGGTGCGACCATTTCACGAATTCCTTACAACCAAATTTTTCCTTGGAATGAAAATTCAGATCACAATCAAATGTTCAGCCGTTCCCATACCTTAAAGTTGTCACCAGGTGACGGTTTTAATGAACTATTTTCTACTTCTTAGCCACAACCATCCGGAAATACAAACGATCTGGTTTTAACTCTCAATAGCTTTATATTTGATCGTTCGCATTTTTTTGTTTTCACACTTTCATTAGTTATTTTTTCAACTCTCTTTGAGACCGTAGATATTAAGACCTCTGTCTTGATCACCGTCTCCTTTCGTCTTTTAAAAGTGGTATGGCCTCGTATTCGCAACTTGTTCGTGTTGTCAAGATGACCTAATTGGACATACATTGTCCAAAGCCCTCGTCTATAGCACTAACTCAAGCTGCTGGAATTCTTTTCATTTCGTTTGAATAGGCTGTTTGAAAGGATTCTTAAATTGGCCTTATTGGATATAGAAGAAGGTATGTATGC